TCCTCTGGTACTTGTTTTGGGAAAAATCAAGTAAAGAAAAATGACATCATTTGGCCCAAGAACATCCTCCACAGGCAGGAGGTACTATCAGCTCTGGTGAACACTCAACTCATCCCCTTCTGGAGCACTCAGCAAGGGTAAAGAGAGGAAGAGATAGTCGTAAACAGAATATATATTTATGTGTGGAAAGTAATGTATTTTCAAAGGCCATGACAGGGTATTAACTTTGATGCTGTAGCAACGCTTATTCATTAAGATGGCAGGCAGTGTAATTATTTCTTGAAAAATGAAAATGGAAGAGAATCTGTGATCTATGGCAAAAGGAGAAAAGCAAGTAATAAGACAATTAGGTTGTTTTAGATCAATTGCAAGACAGCTAGGAACTAGTATCCTGAAATTAAACCTGTTATAGGTTATCTGTATAATACAGATGTACACATCTCTCTTAATTTTCACTGTATGGAAGCAAAATAGCTACATAACCAATCTGGATAAGTTCAGTGTCCTGTTCTTAAAGTTGGAAGGTGGTTTAGGCCATGTAAACAAGCAAATGTCAGTTTTGAAAATAATTTTGGACATCCTTAATTAAGGGATAATTTAAATCGGATGTTGTGCTACTTCAAGCAGAGACCTAAATCGCATCTGTCTGCTACTTTTGATACCAGTACCTTCTGCACGGAAAGAAAAGGTACCTCAGAATCCACTTTGTGACTACTATCCTGTCATTTATTGTTTGCCTGGTACGCTGGCTTGGCTGGCCTCAATACTCCAACAGCATTACTGTAATAATTAGTACACACTACGCTAAGAAGTACAATCACGTTACTTTAGCTTCAGTTACGGCAGATCAGATGCACGGGAATATTGCCCATGTGTGTTCTCCAGCAAGTCAGTAATTTAAACAGCAGTGAAGATGCTTATACAGGTATTTTACCATGCATTTGCAGAAGGTGGTACACTCCCGGCTTCCCTGACAGCATCACTTGGTGTCCATGAGGAGGAACATGGAGGGTACTAGTCCAGGGGCTGGACAGGCACCAGCAGTCTCTCCACAATGTCCAAGCCCTTGTCAAGGAGCAACTCCCCCCTATAGGAGGCCAGGTCAGCAGATGGGGCACACATCTTTGTGGCAGAGAGTCTCTCACACTTCCTCCCAGTGCTGCTGCAGGGCTCAGGCTCTGCTGGCTTGCCGGCTTCATTGGACACAGCTCTGAGCCCCTCCACTGTTGTTAGGACACTGAACCGGCTCTGTAGCTGAAGATCTACAGGTGGAGCAGGAGTGGTTGTCCTGGTGCAAGAAGTCACCAGCTCCCAGCCTTCACCATTGAGGGACTCTCCATTTCCCAGGTTGATAAGCACAGACTCTGCCTGCCCCTCCTTTGGGACAGCTGGGTGTTCGGGCTCTTATTTGGACATGACCCAGTTAAGCTCTTTCTTGATGGATCTGAGACTGCAGCCTGTTGACCTTCTCTTGCTGCTCCTTTACTTGGCAACAGAGATCCTCCAACAGCACACACCCTCTGTGAGCAAGGGCACCATCACCCCCACCCTGGCCTCAGTGAGGCCCCAGTCCTCTGCACTGCATTCAGCCCCATACCTGGAGACCTGCATCCTCTTACAGGAGTACCATCAAGGTCAAGATCAGGAGCAGTTGCTCCAGTGGCTGCTCAGGACTGTGACCGGTGGTGCAACACCACCATCACTGAGCACACATGCATGGCTCTCAGCAGAGTTCCTGCATCCTTCTGCACAAAATGTTGTGCAAACTGCTGGACCTCTGGGCTCCCTCTGTTAGCTGCACTCATTGAATTGAAGTGTTGAAAGAGCATCACACTGATTCCAAGGCAACTTGCAGTGTAAAGGGGAAGAATAATTGGAATCTAGTGGCTTTGGTTTAAACATTGGCAAGGGTTTTTTTTTTCCCCCTTCTCTTTTTTCCCTTTCTCCTCTATGTTCATCATAATCTTCTTTTTCTTCCATTCAGGTTTCATCCTCCCCGCAGCAGCAATACAAGGAGGATACGGAGTACTCCTCCAGTTTGGTGATACACCACCATTGGACCCTAGGGTAAAAGGTTGTTGATGACCATCCAGAGTTCCTTGTTACTTCTTCACCTCAGTCCCCTTCCTCCAGTATCTTCCAAAATGTTGTTTTGGGTGTTTGTTTTTTTTCCATAGCCTCCATTTCACCATGTGTCCAGTTCTGCTAACTCAACCTGTCAGCTCAAAATCACATTTGCTCATGTCTTGCAGCACAAACTTCCCGGTAGCTAAGTTGCTTGATGTCCCTGTTCGTTAACTAGTCAATCAATCACTTCTAGGCTACTTTGAGCATGAACCCTAATTTTCAGTGCAATCACGCTATGCTTAATCATAGGGCTCCCCTTCTGTTTAACTTGAATTCCTTGTGGACGGATCTGTGCACTGCCTGCAATGACTGTGTATTGGACGTGAATTATCGCATGCAAGTCTCCTCTGTGTTACTCCTCTCACCTGTAGTGAGGGATTTATCACTTGAATACAGTCTACCTCAGACAGAGGTTGAACCTTTCTTTGTCTCCAGAGAGAGACGCACTTGTCTCTGATGTTAAAAAAGACATGTCATATTTTACACCAAAGAAGGGTTCAAATGCTTATGTCCGAATGCGAGTTTGAAAAAGTAGTGACTGTTACAACCAAAACTGAATGCCTCTAGGAAGGGCAATGGCTGTGAGATCACAGTTCATTTTACTGAGCCAAAAGCCATTTTACTGAACTGCCAAAAGCTACAGACTGGATCTGTATGTGCCACACCAGAAATGCTCTTCCATCTTTGAATTATTCTATCAATCAACTTTATAATGTGAGTAACGTGGGTCAACAGTAAGTCAGCTTATGTCAGTGTTGATTAAATTAAGTATTTACAAACTATGGACTTCTATTCTCCTAGTTTAATTATATCGTTCTCAGCCTTTGGTTTTTCTTCATATTTTTGTTCTGCAACACTCTTCCCTTTCAGTGCATATTTTTTCATTTACCTTTTAAAAACCTGACTTTTCTTTCTGTAGTCAGCAGAGGGAGCTATGTCACTTACTTATGTAAGACCATAGCAGTTTGTGCTTTCAGTCTTCTTTTTTGACCTTTTTTGAGTTCACATAAGCTAGAATGATTCTCATGCCTTAAAATTTCTTTAAAAGGCTTTGGCACAGTGGCAGTCACATAGGTAGTTTGACAAACTGTTACAGATCAGGAATAGGATACCTTTCCTAGGTTTTTCATTTAAAATGAACCATGCCAAATATTACTAGCAGTCTATATTCTGCATTATCTAAACAAAGAACATCGTATTTTGAAGCGATGAAGTCTTTAAAGAGTTTAGACAAAACCTTGTAACCAGAAACATGCATTTGAAACAGTTGTAGCTTACAGTCAAGCAAAAATGACAGGTGAGAACTGAAAGTTGTGTTGAATCTTACGTTGGCAGATCGAGTCACAGGATGTATGTTGCAATAAGACTCTTCAGCAGGAGAAGGCTTTTTTTTTTTTTTTTTTTAAATAGGCTCTATTACAAATGACAGTGTCACATGCACCTCCTCCCCTGAGCAACCCACAGCACGGTTTCACAGTGAGGAGTTGCGTGGGAGAGGAGCTGTTCAGTCCTTCAACACCCATAGGGCTCTCTGGCTCCATTTGTAAGACTAAAGAATAATTCTATTAAGTAAGTGTCCTCTTTACTCCAGTGTAATTTGTGGGGTCTTTCCAGATGGGCAGGCTTAGCTTCTTCTCTGACTGCCTTATGACTGCTCTCAGCATGATGATGATGTCACAGTGCCATACCTTTGAAGACATATCCCACTTCTCATGACTAAGAGCAGCAGCCATAGAGACCAGGATAATCTGGAGCAGTAGCACCGTTTCCACTATGAAAGTCATTTTGCTTGTCTTTTTATCCCTCCTAATGTCTGCAGAGACTACCAGAAAATTTATTTCACCTGACGGTATGTTCTAATCAAAACTTTATTCTGGTAAAAATTATTACAGAGCTTGCATTCTGCTAGATATAAAAAAGGCAGAAGGTATTTCTTCCTTTCATTATTTTTTAGTTAAATGAAGTTTTTCCTCAGAGAGCTTAATAAGACTGTTCCCTTCCACTGTGGTAGCACTGTTGTTTTGAAAACATATTCTGCAGTTTGACTTGTTCTGCCCATGTGCAGGTGCAAAAGCGCATAGGAGGCAAAAGTGCACAGAGCTTGTCCAGCATCTCCAGCAACCACACAGCATCCAGTCAGAACATAACCATTATAGCTCGTAACACCAGAGAGAAGAGCATCTGCTCACAATTCTGTGAACAAGCAACGAGCTGAATTGAGAATTGCACAAGGTTTGCCCCTGAGCTTTCCAATGGTGCAGGGACAGTCAATCCTGCAGATACACAACAGAGTTCAGTCCTCAGGAACTGCAAAACAGTGACACTGAAACACTCTCGACTGTTCCTCTGGCTGGATCTGGCTCAGATTCACTGTTTCACAAAGGGAAAGGGGAAAAAAAATTGTTTCATGGGGTAAAAAAAGGACTATTGGTTTCCTGACCATTGCAGCCGTTATCTTACACTCCAGACCCAAGACTGGAATATTGCTTTCTTAGCATGTATAATTTTTTGTCCTGATTGAGAAATATTCTGATTGGCATGCTGTACTGTGAAGGCTGCAGATTAGAGCAAGGTGGGAGCCTGATGCAGGAGACAGTTCCTGAATGTCAGTGTATGTACACAGCTGTTGGAAACAGGCCATATTTAGAAATATAGACTATTGAGATCTTAATTAAATAATAACAGCATTTTTAAAAAGTGAATAGTATTGCTTTATAATTCATTAAACTGTTTTTAGTCACTTGTTGCAGCAAACATAATGTGCAGCCTGTCAAATCATCAGCAAATAGTTTTTTGAAAAAACGTGTATTTGACTAAGCATTTATTGACTAAGCATTTTCTGGATTACTCCAAAGTAGCGCTACCTGGAGATTATTTGGAAGAGGAGAACGAAGATGATGATGATGATGATGATAAAAAAACCACTAATGTTGAAAAACGCCCTGGTAAGAACATTATAGAAACTAGTGAAATGACATTAAGTTGCAAAATATAGATATTCTGTCACTTCAGGATCAGGTATTCAAAATTTTATGTGAAGTGGAATTCTCCCTTTTACAGAATGTGAACTTAATGTTTGCAATCCCTGCTCATAAGAGTGTTTCAAGGAGTTGCTGTCTCCACACAAACCAACTGAATGGCTTACCCATTCACACAAATTCAGTGGGGAGTTTGTAGTAACAGGATTGGATAAATGCATCTAAGATCCTGTTAGCTATGTCCTTGAAACAGAACCCTGTTCTTTGATCACGCAATGGCATGCCTAGTGCTTATAGACGGGACAGAAATGAAAAGCCTGTCTGTGGTGGGACAGAGGAAAGAATGGACTATAGAATATCTCAAGGACGAAGTCAGCTTGGCTCTTTTTCTGGCAACATTTGAAATACATAATTTGTAATACCAGAGCATTATAATATTAAAGAATGGAATTATAAAATACCCCTGTAAGGAAAAGATTTTAGTTACCTGTTTCTTCCTCTAATGCATCAGAAAGGGGAAGATGGAAGAGAGAGGAACTGTGCTGTACTATTCAGTCCTTGAACTAAGCACATTCAAAATTTGTGCTATTCATTTATAAGCATGTTATTGACTGGACACAAAAAAGATTATGAATAAAAAAATAGAGGAAGAAACATCTTATATGTGGCCTTCAGAACACTCATTTCAATTGCACTTCAGGCAGTTACAGAATAGCGCAATCCAAATTTTCAAAGAGAATGGTTGGTTTCTCTGTAAAAATGACTGCATTTAATGAGCCACAAATCAGTTAAAGCACAACTATGTAGTTTGAAAACCATCTCTCTCACTTGGCTGTGGCTCCTTTTGTGAATACTCCCATTGTGCTCTTTGGAAAATGCCAGACTTACATGGCAAAGAAAGACAGGAGTTTAACTTAATATGCATTCATTTAGATGTTTCTGCAAGGACTTCTGTGTCCCAATTTGATGATGGAGAGGATCTGTTAAAGAAGAGTATGCAAAATTTGCAGGAGAAATGTAAGTAGCAGAAGATACCATTTAAGCAGTGTGAAACTATATACAGCTGTTTAAGTAGTAGTAAGGTCCAGAAAGAAGAGCCTGGCACACATATCGGGCAGCTACGCATCTCAAATTATATCCTGTGTTGCATTCATTTGTTACCGATACAACTGTTCTAAGACAAGACAAATTAATGAGAGGTTAGGTGAAGAAATCCTAAATTAGTCCCAAACTACTAAACAAAATTACAGAATGACAGGTGAGAGAGGAGAATGAATGTCCTGCTGCCCTCCCACCTTTTAACAAAATACGTTCATAGACATAATTTGACTTGTGGGAAATCAGATCCCACGGGTTCCCACTTCATTTCACCATGTTTCAAGAATCCTCTTATCCTATCTACTGCTCACTGGTGACCTTTGTGACCACCAACACAGTTTACAGTTCATGTTTAAAGAGAGCCCACATCTGAATTAATTGCAGAAAATAAGTAACGCCACAGTGTCTGTCAACACGTGTGGCACTGTGTACAGATTGACACAGTCCCTTTCCAGTTCTGCCTGAGTCATTCCTCTAAGATATTTCTGTTACAATTTAGGCTTAACAATTGAGGATGATTAAAATGGACTATAACAGTAATGTATTTTTTTGCTGAGTGACTAACTGCATATAGGAAGTGACATACTGGTGCTGGCTATTACGCTCATCAACTCTGCCAAGAAGCATGAAAGGTGGTCTCATGTACAAACTGTTAACCCATCCAGAACACCATAGACAAATGACACATTGCCTTCCATACGTGGCCATCAGAAATCAAATATGAATCTGGAAAATGCTTCTGCAAAAATAGCCCTGCCTTAAAATTTATATGTAGATTGGGATTTTTGTAAGTAGTTAGTTTCTATTCCTAAAAGATTCACCCTGCCTAACTTCAGATTCTTTATTATTACTGCTTGTAGCAAAATTCATCTCCACCGAAGGAGTGGAAGAGGAGAGTTCTCAGGAAGAGCAGGCACTAGGTAACAGCTAATTGGTGTTTTCATTGGGGTTGCCAGTATTATACCATCACACTAAAAAAACCTGTTTTGACATGCTGATCTGACATGATTTTCCCAGTTTCACTAAGCTCAAGACCAGGTATTCTTTTGCTATTTGTAAGTTCATAACATAGCTATTTCAAGTTCTCAATTTTTTAATCACTGAAGAATTGCAAAGTACTAGAGAATAAAACATAAGGGTTTTTTTCTAAAGAAAGCAGTTCTTACAACTTCTCCAATCATGTTTGCTAGTGAACTACATTGATTTCTGATTTTTCTAGCTTTTAGGCTTTTGACAATAATGCAGCAGGTTTCCTAGGCATGCTTCCTCTCCTTCCCTTTCATCTCAGATGTTGAACTTCCTGATTTTTCTTTCTCTGCTTTGTCTTAGCAATAATCTTTGCAGCTGTTCTTTTTTTTCCCCCCAGAATCCAGATTTGGACCCCATTACCATACCACTCTCACACAGAGCCACAGTGAAGAACCACCTTTGGATGGTACGGTAGAGGACTCAGCAAAAGATTAAATATAAGTTCAATTCTTCTACCTAGAAAGTATAAGAACAACAGCAATTCTAAATTTGGTGGGCAAAAATGAAATGAAAAAGAAACTTGAAATCAAGACACTTTGTCACATTTTCATCTGAGAATCACAGAGGAAGTAAAAATCATTAGGCAAGCCCCGTCTTTGAGACACGCACATATTAGCAGGTAAACAAACTGAAGTCCCAAGATGATGAAACTTGGCACGGGCCATATTAGCAAGCTATAGAAAAAGTAATGCAAATAAGTACTTTGAATCTGAAAACATGCTTCTATCCCAAAACTTTGAAGAATGCTTTAGTTTGTGTACCTCTTGTTTTCTTAACTCCAGTTATATTTTATTACTACTTTGCAACTGAGGGAAAATGTTAAACGTATTCACAAATATATGGATGAAGTTAAGTTTCTACTGACCTGAATGGGAGACATGCATTTGTGTGCAAAGGTACAATTTGGCCTCTGAGACTGTATGGTTTTTATCCATATTGATTCATATATGAAACAGCAGTATATGCTTTCTCTATCTCTGGCAAAATAAATTAGCTTGTTTCTATTTCAGAATTGCTGAAAAATACACCAACCTCGCTTTATTTTCTAACAAAGAGCTAATAAACAAAAGCATTTCTATAAACCAAACTAGAGAAAGGAAAGAAATTACCCTAAAAGGTTTGTCTGTTTGTTGTGAGTTTGTATATAGGATCATAAAAGGTGACATAAAAAGTTATTGCTTAAATGTAAGGTTTTCCTTGTGTAATACTGGAGTATTACTGTGTCTTACATTTTTCAGATTCAAGAGCCAAATTTATGAATGTTTATAAGGATGTCTCTGAAAGTAAAGGGAGTTTCACCTTGATAGATAAAAGTAGCTTTATGACTGGTTTGGAACCCTTTTCTGACTGAGAATTAGTCACCATTTAAAAACTACATAGCGCTAAAAGCAAAAGATCTGTTTGCTACTGCTTATTAGAATGAATTGCGCTTAGGAAAGTTAACAAGATCTAGGAGAAACTGAGAGGGGTTTAGATCTATATGAACTATAGCAAAACTGTAAAAAGCAGTAGAAAATCTTAAAATATTAAAAGACTGACTAGCTCACTTGAGACAGCTCTGAGTTTCATTCCTTTTCACAGGCAAGAGAAGTAACAAAGTTGAAATCAAGCGTGTTACAGCAGTCACACACAAACTGTTTTAAATCCTTCTAGAAGTGCCAAGTGCTTGCAAATTATTTATAATCCCACTTGTTTCTCTTGAAACAAAAGAATTAGCTATGTATTTAAATAACAGATGGAAATGCAGAAAAGAGATGGATTTTTTTTAATTGCATCAAAGACATTTTTATCATCAAAGAAGAGCACATAATCAAGTTCCTGATCTCAATGACATCAGATACCATCCAAGCAATGTATTTTTCCAAGAAGGCATTTCTTCTAAGAAAGAATATAGTATAGCAGTCTTGTTGCTTTTGCACACAGTAAAGTAGGAATATGTAGCATCGACGGTTCCATGGATGCTTAAGACCACCCCATCTCCTCATAGGTGAAAAAATGGGTTCTAGTAAACTCAGAGTAGTAGCATCCCCACAGTCCCTGGGGACTGCTAAACTTCTGTCAGAATTACTCCTTATGATGGATACAAATCATGTCTAGAAGGATTGGAAGATGTGCTTTGCAAAGGCCAATTCATCGACAACTAAATGGATTTGAGTTTTCACAGAACTAGTCCTTTTATTAGAAGTGCTTATTTTTATTTGCAAATCGCATAGATATAATCCATTTCTATGTATGTCGATTTGTCCAGGACATTGCTGTGTGCATACTAGTGGTGTGGTGTGCTTTACTGTTGTAGTGTCAGACAATGCTGATTTGCTTCAAAGGAACACAGCTCAAGAAACCAGCCAAGAAGATTTTAAAGTAAATGTAATGCTTGCTGTGTCATGTACAACTCTTGCCTGCTCCTTAATATTTATGATATGCTGTTGTATGGCTTTCATCAAGTACAGAATGGAAAAAGGGTAAGTTTTCGAATCACGTGCTGTGCTTTATTTTATTTGGATAGTAAAGTAAGGTGCTACTCCAAACATAGGATTAAAGACTATGCAAAAATGTGATAAATACTCAGAAAGGCTGTACACACATATAGTTAATTTGCTTACTTTTTCCCCTGCAAATGAAAAGTGAAGGCAGAATTTATTAAAAAATAGAAAGTTATATTATTACCAAGAGTGTATGTACTCAACATTTCCTTATAAGTTGAGATGCTCCCCTTTGTCAGTTCAAATCTTGAAAAAAACAAAAGTTCAGTAATTTATTACCCATTCAATGGTACAAAAGTTCAGTAATTTATTACCCATCTTCAATGGTATCTGTTAAGTTTCTATTGGATTCCTCTGGTTAGAATAAAGTAATGATTTTTGTTCCGTGTTTTAGGAATTTTTGTCATACATTCAGATGCTCACGTGAACAACAGAGACCAGCTTCTGTATCTTTCTTTGACCCACTGAAGAGAGTTCCTGATTCTTCAGTTTCCAGAGCTGCAGAAAGCAGACTGTGGGGTGAGAAAACAGCATCAGACATACAGAGTAACATGAAAAACACAAAATCAGAAACATTACCTATCATAAATTCTGTAGTTGATATATCACCGATTTCTCATGCATCAAGTCTCAGCAGTATTCCTTCCTATGAAGACTTGAATGGAGACCGCAACTAAACAGAATCTCACTGACAGTGACTGACAAGCTCTCTAACTCAGATGCTGGTATATACGCAACTGTTTATATAAATAGTGCTTGTGATTCACTAAATTTGTAACTTGAAATTTCATGACAGGACAGAATAAATTTTACATTCTGATAAGACAGTGATGTGTAATTAAAATTTGATCACAATTTTTTGCAGGCAAACATTAACTGCTTCAGAATAAAGCGCCAGGAGATACAACCATGGCCAGAAGACAGCTCCACGTTATTCCTCAAGTTAAAAAGGAACAGCTGAAACACAATGACTTCTTGAAATGAATTCAAACAATCCAACATTAGTGGCACACAATGAATAGGAATGTAGTGATGGATCTCTGAACAATAATTACTTTTTAAATCAAGATTTTTTTTGAGCAATAATTAACTTTTTTAAAAAATATCCTTTGTTTGGGAAAGTTATGTGAGCATATGTGCATTTTGGAATGTTTGTGTACATAACAGCCCTGTATGCTGTTTTTATGTATACAATAACATGCAAGCCCAAATAACAGCAAGGCAGGTATTTTTAACAAAAAAAAAGATCTCTTGGTAGATCTTTTAAGAGAACACAATTTTTATATTACTTCCTCTGCTTTTTACATGCTGCCCCAAACCCAGAATATCATACCTGTGTTCGCCACTCCCAGACAGTAGCAACAATTCTTCAGTTGACACTACTCCGACATGGGGAAGAAAGTGCAATGAGACTCACAGGATCAGAAGTAGAGTCTGGTCTATAGAGAAATTTTAGGCAGTAGGGCACAAAAACCCAGGGTTTCCAGATTACAGCCAAAATGTATTGCCTTCAAGGCAACGCAAGCAATTTAGAAAAATTGCCTGGCTATGGTCTTCTGAAGCCAGCTCAAAACCCAGGAATCCTTTCACTAACTTTCATGAGCCTGCGCACAGAAGTAGCTAGAATGACTTAAGTTCTGAAAATAATTTATCCCATAATTCAGAAATATGAGATAGAAATGCCAGATTTTTCTTCATTCTTTCTTATATATCATGATTCTGTTATTATCTCCTTTGGCACCCAACAGAGCAGATTTCCTTTTTCCAGCCACGTTACTGGCCAGCAGGGGACAGTTACATTAGCAGCCCATTTTCAGTTAGTTTCTTCATTCTTTTTCTTGTTATTATTTTCATGTTTTCCATGTTTTGAAATTGTCCTTGACTATCTAGAATTAAAGTTTTGCCTTAGGGGTGGTACTCAAGCTCATATCACCTGTATGAGTTGATAGTGTAGATGACTCAACCTACTAGAATTAATAGGAAAAGAATACAGAACAGCATATAAAACATGATGGTGCTGTTCCACAAATTCCCAGTTAATTCACACTGTGAATACCGAGTGCAATTCTGGTCCCTTACACTTAAAAGCAAGAGACAAAACCAGAAAAGTTTCAAGTTAGGTTGACAAGGATCGTTGGAAGAATGGAACTGCTTCCACAACAGCAACCATAAACGTGGGCTAGAAAAGAGTATGTGTTGGAGGGAGGGGAGAGTCTATTATAAATATTGAGTGCCACGGATAAAACAGATAGCAATTGACTACCCATTCCAGTAAGAAAAGCCATGAGCATCAAATGAAACCCACAGGAGCCAGGTTCTAAGTCTTTAACAGATGTTGTCCTTGCAGTGGCTAGTGAGTAGACAAGCCATTGCATGCTACTCAACAGTCTCACCAAACCCTCTATGCAGAGGCCTCTAGGGAAGACTTGCATACTCCTGCTCTGTTTTTACAGCCCCCTAGCCATCTGGATCCTGGCCTCTGCTGGAGGCAGCGCGCTGGGACAGATGGACCCATGAAGTGAACTCACACTCAGATTTGTTCTCAGCGGTGAGCTGCGGGCCGCGCTGCTCGTTCCAGGTGAGGCGGATCCAGCCGTTACAGCCCGGGGAGCCCAGGAACCCTCTCAGTAGGCGGGTGGGTAGTTCTCCTTCAGCTGGGGCAGAACGGCTGTCCGGACCCTAACGAGTGCTCCTAACGGCAGACTAGATACATAGCTCATAAATAAACACCTACAGCTGGGGCACCCCACCCGCAGGACAAAACAGTATTTCCCCATGAAGAGCAGGTATCCCCCTCAGTGCCACATGCCACCTTTTCTCACCAGTTAGGGCTGCAGACCTGCGCCGCAGCTCCGCTAACCGCGCTGCGGACCAGACCGCTCCGCCCGGAGCGGCTCCCAGGTGTGAGGCAGCTGATCCGTACGCCTCCCCCGGCAGCTCCTTCAGCTTCAC